TTGTTTCAATATTTTTGCCGAACAGTAAACACGACGATTCCACGCGCAGGTCGCGAGGATGAAGTCTGATCTATATAAATCATATTTAAACTGTACTAACTGTAGGGAGCCACCTTAAGCTGAAGTTGTGAAGCTCCTTAAAGTACTCTTTAAAACCTTTCGTCACATTAGCACTCCTGAATAATTACAAAAGACTTCTCATTTCACCAGCAAACTGAGTATCGTCCTTTTAATTTATTTCTTCTAAATCTTTTCCCACCAGACCAACTAGAACATAACATCTTACGGCAGAACAACAGTGAGGAAAATATAAAAAAAGCTTCACTGATAATTTGAAACAAAAACATTAACTTCTGAATAATAAAGTTGTTATTTATGTAGTCTTCCATTGCATAAATATAAATACCCTGAAAATAAGTCTGTCTGCAGAGGCACACACCACAAAAATAATGCCCCAAGTTGAATCTGATGAGCATATCACTACTGACGAAGCAGCCATGCTGATGCCACACACAAACAAACATTCTAAATTTAAACGACTTATATTGTGGTATATGTATTTCTCTCATTCTTAATTTATAGGTAATGGTAAGTCTATAACTATACACAATATGTTGCATTCCACAAAATTGTAATGAAAATGTCCCGCAAACGAAGATTCAAATTGTATTAGTATGACTGAACTAGAAACTATGCATGTATGTATATAACCTTTAAACCACCCTCAAAATTCACCTCGGCAATTGCCGACGCAAAAGCAGAGGCAAGTTACGATTTTTCGTAGTTTGCCTCGGCAAAAAAATGTGCGGAGGCAATTCCACCCATTGTACCTTAAATAACAAACGATAGCATCTGTTCATTTTTTGCTTTAATTTACAAACTACAGTTGTCATTTTTTGTATCACTTCTTTGTTCAAATTGTTGTCATCGACGTTGGGTGAACAACAGAGGATTTCATTCATAGCTACTTTACAAAATATTTAAATTTGAGCTTTTCAGCATCGGCTCAGCTGAAATAAAGCACAATCTTGATGGTTTAAAGACGGCACATCAAGAAACTTTGTTTTATCTTTTAGACTGTCACATGATTACCATCAAGTTTATTCTTTCATACTATTTGTTGTTAATTACCACTAACTTTTTAAAAACCTTTTGAATCCGGAATTTGTAAAATAACAACAAATTGTCAAGCGTCACAATCTACGCTCGTTATAACATTTGTTTACAATAATTTCCATACTTTAATTACAACTGCTGATATGAATGCCGAAGTAATAGATGAAGGAATGTAAAGTGATTTCATTGCGTGCCTCGGCAAACTCAAAAATTATCGAAAGACTTCAGCAATTATTTGCAGAGGCGAAAATAGTTGAATTTTGACTATTTTTTCCTACACACAGAAAAGTATGACTACGCACGGAAAAGTACTACTTAGAACAAGAGCAAGAGTGCTTTATCAGATATAAAACGAAGAGAAGAGTGCAGCTTGAGGGTTTATATGACTACTGACGAAGCAGCCATGCAGTCACGCTGATGCCGCACACAAACAAACATTCTAAATTTGAATTTACTTATATTGTGGTATACGTATCTCTCTCATTCTGAATTTATAGCTAATGGGAAGTCTATAACTATACACCATATACTACACTCCACAAAATTGTAATGTCTTTGACTTTACCGATGTTTATTGATTAAAATTTAGTATTGTTAAGGCTGCTTTCCATTTACACATTTTTCATATGTGTGCGTACATGCAAAAGTATATAATTGAATCTAACAAAGTCTCTTAACAATTAACAAAGCTGCGACTTATTTACAAATATTTAAATGATATATATTATATACATATATTAATATATTTCTATGCCAGGGTCATGCCAGGACTCTTTTCTCTTTTGCTCCTCTGTACTTGGCAGAGGACTAGAAGAAAGTGTTCATACTATGGAAGATGGAGTACTGCTAGGTGACAGTGGATATGCCCTCCAATCATACTTGATGACACCTTATTTAAACCCCATTCTGCTACAGCAAAGATTTAACAGGGCCCACAAGAAGATAAGATGCCTGGTTGAAGTGTAATCGGTATTTGGAAGAGATGATTTCATGTCTTGCATTCAGAACTAAGGTAGGCTCTTCTCAGGCAGATAAAAATATTTGAGAATATGGGTGTTTCATTAAGGGTTAGCCTGGAGAGCTGGAGATTCTAACACCTGCTCTGCGCAGGCTTAAAAACCTTCCAAGTGACAGTTTTGTGTTAATATTAATTGTGTAATATTTATTTACAATGAAACCAGACGGACTCTGTACTATTGTGATGACATGTGCTGTCTTGCACAACATTGCCATTGAGAGACATGAACCTGAACTGGAAGAAGCAAAGTTGATTTTGTTGAGCTGGAACATGAAGAGGAGCATTTCGAAGCAGCAGAACGTGATGGGTGATCAACAACATATTTTGAAGATGTGATAGTCCATTTGCATGTGTCTGCTTTGTTTACATTTTCTAAATTATGAACTTTATAAATGAAGTTTTGACAAGTATATATTATATTTCTTTGCTTCAACATTAATTTAAAATAAGTGATCAAGGTAGCAAAATCAGGCTTTTCCAGAAACTACAGGCCCGGGAGTGCCCGGGGACGCCCTGAAGCGCCCGGGAGCACGCCTGGGGATATACAAGATAGTATAAATCAGTGCACGATCCTTTTTGGGTCTCTATGAAGCATTAATTAATGAAAAATAGCATTGAAAGTGATTTTTAAGCAGCCTAGCAACAAGCAGTAAAAGTGCGGTCGCCCACGCAGGACGTTGTACGAAACATGAGATTATATTTAAATTTATTATAAATGTAAATATTTGCTGTTATTAAATTAAACTAAAGTTAAATAAAAAATTAAGACTAGTTTTGTTTTAATATATCAACTGCTGAGAACAAGTCAATTGTATTTGGCGGCTTTCGAAAAAAATTTGTCTATAAGATTACCAAGATCTATGAGCTATACATAAAAGTCAAAAATAAAAAAGGTCATAAACTAAATCTAAAAAGAGAAGATGAATGTATATCCTAAAGTTCCCAAACTATACTCATTGATAATATTATATTTCATTGATAACATAACATATTTATCATTGATAACATAACATTAAAAGCATTGATAACACTATATTTTACTAATATTTAGGCTGAAAACTGCGTTTTTGTTTACGCGGAATGTTTTTATGAGTTTATATGACTCTAATTTAATTAGTGTTTTTTATTTGGCCTAATCTTAATGACTTGTTCTCAGCAGTTGATATATTATTAAGCAGTTGATATATGTTTAATATATTAAAACAAAACTAGTCTTAATTTTTTATTTAACTTTGTTTAATTTAATAACAGCAAATATTTACATTTATAATAAATATAATCTCATGTTTCACACAACTTCCTGCGTGGGCGACCGCGCTTTTATCGCTTGTTGCTAGGCTGGTTGAAAATCACTTTTAATATTATTTTTCATTAATATAATGCCTCATAGAGACTCAAAAAGGATCGTGCACTGATTTATATTATCTTGTCTATCCCCGGGCGTTCTCACGTGCTCCCGGGCGCTTCAGGGCGTCCCATTGCTCAAAGAAGCAAATATCCCCAATTAGTAGGACCCCTCAAATGTACAGTATGCATGCACATAATAGACTATACAGTATGTTGCCCAGTTTCCGGCCATTTCAAGTTTGAACTGCCACATCTTCCTTTTCAGAAAAGATACAATTTTTAAATGCTCACTTGAGGATAGGATATGTGTTTCTTCACAATATTCCAAAAGATTGACTGCTCTTACCCTTTCACTTTTAGAATTATTTATATTTTTAAGAATAATTTTTTGTGCTCAGTATCCGGTCAACTGTTCCAGTAGCCTGAAAACAGACCTACGTTTTACCCACCCTAAAATTTGCGGGTCAACGAAGGGCGAAATGTAGGTCTGATGGAAATGTTGTCAAAACACTGTGGAATCTGACCACGTGGTGGTTGGAATAGCTGATTGGCTAATTCACAGGGAAATGGGTTGTGATCAGTTGGTCGCTATATAACATCAAGAGATTTAAAAAGATCAAAATATATTTCAACGGTAAATCAACACATATTATATGCATGCAGTGTGATATTCTAAATATTTTGTGATGTCGAACAACAACTAGTCTATCGGCATCTGCTGTCTAAAATTAGAACTGGGGGGAGTAGAGCCGTATATGTCAAATACTTCACCGTTGTGTCTTTCCGTTGTAATATACTATACAATAATTTTTACATGATCTAAGTTTTGTGATTAATCATAATCATAATAAAACTGATACAAATATGTGCACATTCGTGATTTAGATTTTGATAACATAGCACGTACAAAATATTTTATTTAGATTTTCCATTGTATGGCGATTTCAAAATGTATAAATTGTAAGAGTTGGGATGCAATTCAACAATAGGACATGGCCATTGTGAAAATTGTGTAGGCAGATTTTATCGCATTTATAGAATTGTGTTGAAAATGTTGTATTATTACTAGCTGTAACTGTTTAGAAAACCAACAGGCTGCATGGGGTTACCAATACTTTAAATATTTATATAGACTCTTACTTTGTTTACAAACATTTAATAAAGTGAATCAACAACTTTCATTGTATTTTTAGGTGTTACATGTAAATATGTCAATCATCATTGTTTAATTATTGCAAAGTGCAAAGTGGGCGGAAGGCCCTTTTGATAACATTTTCATCACACCTATGTTTCGCCTTTTTCAGGCTACAGTTCCAGTAGTATCCTCGAAATTTACTTTAACTTAGGCCAACTTTGACAATCGTTTTCAGGCATGTTTTAAGACAAAATATGCATAAACTATATATTTTTAGAAACTACAGATATTAAGCTACAAAATGGAACAAAATTTTTTTTCAGTGTTCGTAATCAGATTGAAATTTGACACCACAGAAGAGAGTAGTATATAGAAAACTAAATTCTAATGGCCACTTTGCCCCCCCATAAAATCTCTTTCAATATGTTGTGTATTCAAGTGAAATTGCACATGATGGTAGCTAGGATATTGAACTATGCTCCTATTACCCATTTTTTTGTCATTCACCATGGTTGCTATGGTAACGTATAACGCACATTGCATTCTCTTTACTGCATCCTCCACTTCTTGTTTACTTTTCGCTTTTTTGTCCACGCACCGTCTAATGGCATTGCCATAATATTTCTGCAGTTTGTCAATCATAGGCCTGGTGAGTCTTCCTGCTCTTCCTCCCACCGGTTTACCATCTGCGAGCTTTGACTTTCCAGACAGAGCTATCAGGTTTTTGCCCATACGCTTCTGCACATGTCCGACACAATCAAGCTTGCTAACCCGATGGCAATTTTCATTGCTTGTGCTATGTTCTCTCTCCCAAGTAGCATGTGCTTTCGATTTCAACCACTTTTGGTACTCTGCTGACTGTTTGTCCATATTTTCATATTTCTCACAATCATCACAAACCCCATATATATCCCACACTTCTCCATATGCCTTGCTATCACCATCACATACCATATCAATATGCCGGAACTTGTGCTTGTCAACAGATCTACTCCACAAAATTCTGGCTGCTTCTTTTTCCATAGCAGGACTAGAACCATTATAATTCTTTTGGCATAGTCCACTGGCCGCATGAGCATCTTTCCACTCTTGGTATTTCTCGGGATTGCTTTTGTGTTTCTCTGTAGCTTTGCAAAGTTCACAGACCTTTGATAAAACAACATAGTCCAAGACCTCCCCAGTATCAGCAGAAATGACAATTCCAACTCCATAGTTGGCCGTGAAGCCCCTTTTGCTCCATGTACCATCAAATGACACGGCAACATCAAGAATTTCTGCATCATCCTTCTGCAGGAATGTGCGTACTCGATGGCCGGCATCGTTCAACCTTTCTTCCAAAACTTTTCGTGTTGCTAAGTTCACCGAGCGATTATGTTTTTGATAAGCACTATCACTTACTGGGGGTGGCATATTTAAAATTTTGCAAATGGTTGCAAGAGCCTCTCTGCCTAAGCCCAACTCACCCATGGCAAAATTTGTTCTCCGATTTACATCAAAAGAACGAGCTTTTCCCTCGACTGGCTTCGAAGTATCCATGTCCACTTTCTGTCTACATTTGGTGCATTCAAAA